ATTTCCTCATCAGTTAAACAAATCAACTTTCAATGTAAAATTCAATTAAACAAAGAAAAAAAAAGTGTACCCCAGACTGTTGTTTATGCACAAATACATTTCACACAGCTCACTTCAGGATTAACCTGCATAAACCAAACATTTGCTCAAACAACACTTTCTACACATCTAAAACCAACAAACAACAAATTATTGAATTCTAGGTACTTAACCAAATATTTTCAAACCAATTAAAGAGTATATATGTTAACAACACTTTCTCAAACTTACCAATTGTTATGTACAATTTTCAGCACGCGGATGCAGGTAGGCAGCATCTCGCATATATCGATATGGCCATATAATGCTGAAACCACAAGCATACTGCAGCTCTATCTCTATCTGTGGGAGGTAGATACTATATAATTCCTGTCGTCAAACGTTCCAAGCACAAGCATACGAGAGGACCACAATCCCCTCTGGCTCCCTGTGTTTGTTGTGGCACAGTCTCGTCTCTGATCATTGTAATTTTGAAACTTTTTTGGCTTATTGTTTTCAGAATTTGTCCAATAATCAATCGCATTCAAGTATTTAGCCAAATGATCGCTCCATCCCTTTGTAATAATATCTCTCAAATCAGACAATGGTATGTAATTCAACATGCTGTCATATACCATTATCTTCAGGGATGGGAGCTGAAGCTCGACGAGAAGCCAATGACGATGGTCCAAAATAGGGATAAACACATGCAATCATAAATAATTGCGTACATCAAATAAAATTTATGAAAACCTTTAAAATATTCAAAAAAATAAATACTAACCTTATCGACCTCTCACCACGCAGGATAAAGTTTAGCTTTTCCATTAGCCAACTTATATGAAGCATCTCTTTGATCCTTCAAGTGAGCTGCTTGAAAATACGTCGCATAATAGTCCATCGAGTACCTCTTTTCTTCAATTTCCTTATTATTAGAAGACGTGACACCCATGCATCAATATGTTGTTTTATAAAAAAATAAATATATTAGTGAATTTATTAATAATTTTTAAAAAATTAATCAAAATGCAATATAAGAAGAATATAATACTTACTACCCCTTCGAGATAGCCATTATTTTCAACCCCTAATAAAACACCCCACCAAGACCGATCAAGAAACAAATGAATAGCATCGTCGATTTGGAATAGGTCAGAATAACAACCCTTGCTCCGCTCATGTAAATAAAAATCAACTGCGGTCTTAGCCCAAAGGGTATTATCCGTAATTGTGTCCGGTAGTGTTTCCCTCTCCTACTGAGGAATGGTACTGGCCGGTAACACATACGAAATCCAACTCGCATCCATCATATCTGGCACGGGAGGGGGTTTATCAATATGTCGACATATGACGCCATATGAATCGGGCTCTTGAACGGCGGCGGGACCTCTTGAACGATGATGGGGGCTCTTGAACGGTGGAAGGGGCTTCTTCGATGACGAGAGGGGCCTCTTGAATGATAGGAGGCGCCTCTTGAATGATGATAGGTGCATCGGGCTTCTTCTTACAGAGTCTTGGCACTAGTGGGGTGAACGGAGACGTAATGGCACGTGCACGACATCTGATGCGTGAACCCTGTCGTGCAAGAAAAACCCGACGTAAAACATCTACCTTATCGGGCCACTGAAAATAAATTAATACATAAATCAGTAAATAAATAATTCCGAAAATAGGTTATTTGCTTTTTTAGTATAGTATTAAACAAATTTACCTCATTGCGTAGAGTATGAACCTCATTCTGTAACAATGAAACAATCTCGCGTAGAGCGGCAACCTCATCACGTAAAGTAGATACCTCACCACGTAGCGCACCATTGTCATCGCATAAAAAATCCACCTCACCACGTAAAGATCGAACCTCATCACGACATGCACCATTATCTTCACGTAAAGTACCGACCTCATGACGCAAAGCACCGACCTCATCACGTAATTCCCCTAACTCATCCCGTGGAGGTGGAGAACAGGGAGATAAATGTCGTGGCCTCTTTGCCGGTCGCCTATCATGAGGTGATAGTGGAGAAGAGGCTCGATGATGTGATGGAATATGTGATGGTGGAGGTAGAGAAGAGGCTCAATCAGGTGATGGCTCCGGGTGTCGAGCTGTAGAATCGGCCCGATCAGGTGATGGCTCTCAAAGTGGGGGGTACTCATCATCCATCCCATCAAAAAACCGCTTACTAGCTTGCCACCAATCAGTGGCAAGCTCAGCCTCTGTGGGTGTCAGCCTCTGTAATGGATAGTTGGCCTCCTAACAATATAAAATCTCAAACAAAGTTAAACTTGTACTAGTAATAACTTGTTTATATATGGTATTATTTGTGTGTTAACTTATATCATTCATCGTCGTATATGAGAGTAAATCTTCCCAATCCAACATGCGGATCCACTTCTAGGTAATAGCCCTAGGAATATAATTTGATCTTTTTATCGCATATGTCCGCATGCTGGGTAAAGCCTCAAATATCCAAATCTACAAAACAATATAATACACAAACATTAGTAATTGTTAAATAATTAATTATAATTTTGGAAACATTATATAGAAATTCTTACCTTAAAGGCCCAAGTAAAGCCTATCAAAGTGTATTTAGAACCATCGCCCCACAAACTTTTTCGGTCCTCAAAGGCAGACTACAACTTCTTCCAAGTAGCTTTCCATAGATATGAACCCCACGAAATAGTTTCCATGCATTTAGGTCCTCTACCAATAATATTAGGTCCTCGAAGATTGGTTGTCTTCCCTCTTTGCCTAAAAAGTCGGCATGCAAAAGTAATAAATGGCATACTCGGACAACATCAAGGTTATCCATCCGAGTAAAACCATCTTTATCAAATAATATCTTCAAGTCGTCGACGTGTATACTCGGCTTCGACTTTGCCAGCTCAGGAAAACCCCGATATAACCATGATGGGCGGGCGATATGACTAGTGTACCGACCTATATCATCGTGTCCGAAGCGTAGACCGGTGATTATGCAAAACTCCTCCCGCCCAAAACAAGTATACGCCGATGCCGGAGGAAAATGAAACCATATCTCCTCATCACCACGTTGTACCCCCTCGGGTAGATCGTTAGTCATGGTCTGAAGAAACAAATGTGTCAACATAGTATCTCCACCCGTATGTTGCACTTTCAGCCATGGCCCGAAGCAAGTATTCTCAAACAATTTTCTTTGTGGAGGTGTAAGAGTCGACGCAATTTTAGTGGCTAGGCTTAATTTATTCCTTAAGGTCAATGCAGCCAAAAACAATTTCTACAAAAACAACAAACATACCAAGTTAGATATACCAAAAACTACAAATTATACACTATAAACAAATATGATATTAAACAGTGAAAACAAAGCCAAATATGTTTCAAACTAGCACGGTATTCACCCAAGTCATTATTCCATCATAGTTCATAAAATGCATCAGATAACATTCCAGAAGTAAGCATTTATATAAACATTTAAAATGACAACATATAGGTTTAGTGCAGGTTCAAGGACAACATAAAGAGTAGTAGTTTATTCTTGACACTTAAATTAGCAACATTGTGAAGTTAGTATTTGTCTTTGTTTTTTGGTTGAAGTAATGCAATTCATTCAAGTTTCAATTTGCAAATAAAAGAAGTTTCTGAAACTTAAATTCGCAACGCGAAAATGAACATTGCAACGCGATTTTAGTTTCGCGTTGCGATTTTCATTTTCGCATTGTGAATTTGGTGTTGCGATTTAGGGTTTCTTCAACAAAAAGACAAAACAAAGACAAATACTAACTTCACAGGGTTAAAGACTAAACAGTTTAGCAGTATTGGCAGCAACGAATGAATTTAGCAATCTCAGTGAAATGGTTAATCTAATAATAATACAAAATTTTCAAAATAAAAATAAGAGATTAAAAAAACTAACCCTCGGTGGTTGATTTTCCATTTCTGACCGTTAATGGTTGTGAGGGTTGCTCTGAGAGATGGAGATAGACGGATTTCATTGGAAATGGGGACGGATTTCGTCGGAGATGGGAACGGATGTTGCCGTAGAGAGTGAGAGATAGAGATGGGATTGAGTTGTGCTTTAGGGTTTTAGGTTAGAGATGATTTGCGATAATACTTTTACATTTGTGTTGCGAAATTAATATTGTGTTTCTCGTAAAAACATTTGACTTTCGCGTTGCGAATTTGACTATCGCGTTGCGAATTTGACTTATGTGTTGCGATTTACAAATTCGCACCGTGAATTTGACTTTCGCGTTGCGAATTTGAAAAATCGCAACGCGAATTTGAAAATCGCAACGCGAATTTGGAAAATTGCAATGCGATTTACATATTCGCGTTGCGAAATTGAAAACTGGGTTGCGAAATTGGAATTCGCATTCCAAATTTGAGATCGCGTTGCGAATTTGTTGGTCATTTTGGCAAATCCAAAAAAAGTTGGTTAAATTCGTATATTATAAGGCATTTTTGGTCACTGAGGTTATTTTATGTTGGATTTCAGCACGATGAAACGAGGTTTATTGTCTATGAATTGATGCAAAATGGTTCTTTGGAAACTCAATTACATGGTAACAGAAATAAAAAGCTCCCTTCTTTCAATCTCTCACAAAGATGATAGAAATGTGATAGTTTTGTCATGGTTTACGACCTTCCCATGGGTCATCATTAACTTGGCATAGGAGGATGAAACTTGCCGTGGATATAGCAAGGTGAGCTTTTGACATCCACTGTTCTATTTTTCTCAGTTAATGAAACAGTAATAAACAAATATCCTCGTTGTTGACCAGAGGATTAGAATATCTTCATAAGCACTGTAATCCACCAGTCATCCATAGAGATCTGAAATCATCTAATATCCTCTTGGATTCAGATTTCAATGCCAAGGTAATAAATTATGAACATAAACTATTTGACAGTGTAAAACCTTTTGTGTGTGTGTACTGTTGTTGCTCACTTTCTTTCTTTGGTCTAGCAGTAACTGATGCAGCCCAAAACAAGAATAATTTGAAGCTTTCAGGCACTTTAGGTTACCTAGCTCCGGAGTATCTTTTAGTTGGTATGTACACGAATTGGGTATAATCGAACAATTGATTCTGACAGGCTGTTGTTCATATTGTTTGCATTATTGTAGGGAAATTAACAGATAAGAGTGATGTCTATGCATTCGGTATTGTGTTGTTGGAACTATTATTGGGAAGAAAGCCTGTAGAAAAACTGGCACCAGCTCAATACATATCTATCGTCACATGGGTATGCCTTGCTCGTGTTTTAGTTTGCCATTGAAAAATCAACCGAACCTTCAGACAATTTAATGCATAACTATCATATGAATTTGCAGGCCATGCCTAAGCTTATTGACAGATCTCAACTCGCAAACATGGAGGGCATTTCATAATTTGGAGGTCTTCTACGGAAGCTGCTTTCAACCTAGTGTTGGGGATAGCCTACTATCTTACCTCCCCCTTACCCCATTACATATGGGAACAAGGGACATCCATTTTTCAACTCGCAAACATTGTGGATCCTGTGATTAAAAATACCATGGATTTGAAGCATTTATATCAGGTTGGTAAAGCTGTTCAGTGTTTCACTTTCGGAAACCAGTTCCTCTCGCATTTGCGTGATTATGATATAATTGCAAAGTGGGATTTTAATATTGTAGGTTGCAGCTGTAGCTGTGTTATGCGTGCAACCAGAACCGAGCTATCGTCCGTTGATAAATGATGTTCTCCACTCACTTATTCCTCTTGTTCCTACGGAGCTCGGAGGGACCTTAAGAGTTGGACGATATGTAGTCCCTTGACCCAAAAGCCAAAACCTACCTAGTTCAGTCTTGACATGTCTCAAAATCGGTATCAGACTTGGTTTCAGTTTTTTTTTTTCTAGGTAAAATCATAGTTCTGCATCAGCTCGATTGCACAATTAGATGCAAACTTCTGATGATATTTGGACGGAAGACTAGATGATTTAGCCTGAGTAGAAGATTTTCGGATTGTTCATACAATTTGTAAATTACACTATATATATAGATGCTTTATGCTAGTTTAGTTGAACTGTCACACTTCACAAGTAACATCAATGGCTAAAAAGACAGATTTGCAGCTCAAAACATGAGCGTTCGTTGCTTATTAAGAGTTTTCAATGCTCAGTAAAATAACATTATTACATGTTTTTCGTAAAATCACTCCAATATTCATGAATTGCTGAATTGCAGATATCATCTTAAAATTTTCATTAATTTAACTCATTGTGGTATGAATCGATGATGGCGTCTGCTAAGTATTCACACTTTGCCAATGATAATCCTGCAAGGGAAATCCTTCCATCCTTGGTCATATACGTGCCACTTGTTCGTCATATTATCGCACTGTTAAGGGGAAAACACACACAGACATAATGTCATAATACAAAGATTAAAATCCAACACATATCGAGTATCTGTGTTGGAACAGGCCATTATGAGCTTTGTTTAAGTCTGTGAATGAAAACATGCCGATCTGCTTGAGAACGAAGACCAATCCTTCCCACTTTTATCTTTGGAAGAAAGACGGTCGAATAATTTGTCTCACGTTCTTAATTCTCCCGGCCATCATTTCCATCTCTGCATTCCATTAGTTGAAGAGAGCTGAATCCCCAACGATATTGGCAATGATCCTCGCCCCATGAACAGGAGGATTGGAGTACATTGGTCAAGCTATTCTTTTCAGTTGGCTCTTTACCTTGCAACATGCATGCAACATAAGAGAGATTATCAAGGAAGGACCAGTGGCACTGTATACTAAAAATGAATATTTTCCAGCATTAAGCACAACATAATTGTACCTTGCAGCAGCCTCTGGTGACAAGCAAACAACATTTATTGCTCCAATCCTTTCTGCATAAAGGTCAAGATTTTTACCGTATGACCGAGCGGTAATAACCTCCATACCACGAGCAACAAACATCCTAACAGATGCTGCAACAGCATCAGGCTTCCACTTGCAAACCCCTATTGAAAAAAGTAAATCAAGAAGTTCTTATTTAAATCACCTTTGTCTAAAAATTCAGGCAAGTAATACCTGGTATGCAATATTGAAAAACGGAACATGGTTCTTCTCTTGGATGACATCTGCAATTATTTCCCATTGCTCTGGAATTGGATCGATACCAGTAGGGTTGCGAGCACAACCACGAAGAAGAATAAAAGAACTCTCAGGAGCTGCCTGAAAAGTATAATTGAAGAATAAATCTAGAACAAGGAATTGACTTATTGCGCATTGATATATACTGTAGTGAGCATTTTTAGCTAGAGTATGACCTTGATGTCTGCTATCATCCCTTCAAAATCCAAACCGTTTTCGGGTCATAGTATAGGTATTCCGACCATGGAACCCTAGCATCATTGAAAGTGTTCTTGTGGTTACCTGCAAGATGGTTTGGTAACTATGCAATTGAACAAATTTCACAACTAAGTTCAACAAGGAGATGGCATTCACCCCAAGTAGGAGATAATATTATAACTTTTGCCCCAGGAAAATATCGTTCTATGAGCGCTGCAGCCAGCCGAAGTGAACCAGTTCCTGAAACCCTTGAACTGTTGCAACCTGGAAAAAGGTATAATAAAATAAATCAACAAGTATCAAAATTTGCCTGAAAAAATAAATCATAGAGAGCTAAACTAGACATAGTTTATTTTGGTACAAGACAATAGCCAGAAATCTCACGCACTCTTTGTTGCTTTATAACTGGATTGTCTGCACCAAATAACAACTCTGCAGTCACTTTACTAAAAGCAGCCAAGCCTTCAATAGGGAGATACTGCAAGTGAAAACCATAGGAAGCAAGCCAAAGAAGAGTGATCACAGGTTTTGTATGCATATTAGTAACTCGAGTTACCTCTCGGTTTTCCCCTTTCTCCAGTAGAAGCTTATCAGCCTATAAAATTTAGAGGTGACAACATAAATTATTTTCAACTCAACTTAATTGTCAAAAAAAAAAAAAAACTCATTCTTGGCATCAAGAATCAAAACAAATTATAAGCTATGTCAATGGAGAATCTAGAACAGGCCATGACTCATGAAAGAATCCATACCTTTTTAACCACATCAAGCAGATAGGGCTGTAGCTCTTCAGTTCGATAGGCTCCAACTCCAAGGTTGAGTTTCAATTCATGGTTGTCTGCTTCGAAAGCTTCAGACACCCCAAAACGAGATACATTGGATGCCACAACCATAGATATTCGACCAAAAGACTGCAAACAATACCCCCAAAAAAATATCAAAATACCAGCTACCCAGAGTCACACATGATCAAGGGGGAAAAACCTTAATTATTGTTACATAGCCATAATGAACATGAAAAGTTGATCTTTAAATGGTAATGGGATAGAAAAGGAAAAAAAAGGGAACCTTTGCTCTGATGAAAGTATTGGTTTTTTCCTTGTTGATGCCCCCAGGATTAGATCTTCCCTGCGAGAAACATATTTCCATTTCTCAATAACTAAACAGTATCTAAAACAGAAACAGAAAGTGATCAGAAAATACCTTGTTGATTCCATGAATAGAAAGTGAAGCAGAGGGAGTGGAAGAAGCCAAAGAGAGTAGCGATGAAGCCACGAGGAAATTCAACAAATTGCTAATAACAACAATGAATAGCAATAAGATTTGAAGTATAAGGAAAGGGGCGATGGGTTCGAAGCGAAAAGCTTGGTGATCAACTGAGTTTGATAATTTTCAGCTAAAAAATAGTGGAAACCGTGAAATGGCGCCGCTGGAACCGACAAGAGAGAGGAACAGTGTGCTGCGACAAAAGAGTTGAGATAGTGTTAAAACTGAGGTGTAGTTGTTTGCCACTTGTCAGCTGATAAGTAGGCTCGCCATGTTGAATTGATTTCAGATCTTTCGATTCAGGATTCACGACCCTGTCCCATGTTGAGTTGATGAATGTCTACGAGAAGAGAACAGCTAAAATACAATGTGAATAGATATGTTGGTTTTGTTTTTATTGTTTTTTTTGTCTAATTACGGATTTATTCACTCTATAATGTTGAAATTCAAAATAATTGTTTTATGTTTTAATTCGACATAATTCAACCCTCTGTTTTTTATAATATTATTGTCTAAATTTGTAACACCAATTCACGTTGTTATCAATTGAGATCTACGTAGAATGATGGAATCCTAAAATTTAACATAATAAAGGAAATAAAATAATAAACAAACTAGGGTAAAATTATTTATAAATATTTAAAAAAGAAAATGAAAAACTTACCCAATAAATGAATATGAAGAATGCACTCCAACAATTCGTTTTGAAATGTCCAATTTGATAATGGCATTTATGGCCCAATACTCCAAGCAGATAAATTATTTGGGGTATTGGGCCTGCCCATAGTTTATTTTAGAGAATACATTTTTTACAGTGCACTAAAAATTAGAATATTGTTTTTAATTGGTTCTTTTGTAGTGGGCCTATGGATGTCATTATTTTATTGATATTATAATGACTCGTCATGTCGAGGTGACGAGTCATTAAAATATTTTTTTTAAAATATTAAATTTAAGAATAAAATTTATAATTTTTTTTAAAAAATAGGGTGAATTCGTCACCTCAAAATGACGAGTTCCTTCAAATTCAAAAATACTAACCGTTTTCTAGCCGTTGATCAACGAACAAACGAGCAGCAACAGACAACAACGATCACTTGAAACTTTTTACCTCGGGGTGAAGATTTCAGCCAACCATTTAAAATTTGTATGCGTTTATAGCCGTTAAGAGTAAGGCTATAAATAAGGAGTTTGGGGTTTTGGTTTTTCACCAAAACATGAATCCGGAAAAAATTGAAAAAAATACTTTGTGCGAAAATTATGAAAAATGGAAACCCGAGAATATATGTTGCGACTGGATAACGTCCATGTTTCATCTATCCAACGTGGGCCAAATGAATGGAGTTTTTGTAGTTGGGGGATGACAACCAAAGAGTCGCATCAGCGGATGATGACATATCTACATCAACCTGGTTTATTTCCAACCATTTGTTTATGTGGCTTCAAGGTGTACCCAATGTTGACCGAGGCTTTGATCGAATGTTGGCGCCCAAAATGCACATGTTCCACTTCCCAAGTGGTGAAGCGACGATTACTCTAGAAGATGTCGTTTACTAACTCTATGTTCCGGTGAATGGAGCCTTAGTGGTGAGGCAAAACATTTACGCCCCTACGATGTTGGTTTACCAAGTTTTGGGAAAATGGCCACCATTCGACGTCATCAGGGGCTATCAAGTCATGATAATGTGGTTGGATTTCAAATTCCAAGTCATGGACGAGTCTACAGAGGCAGATGTTGTGTTTACCTCTCGAACATTTCTTCTTCAATTGATATGAGGGATATTATTACCGGATAAATCTGATAATCTGGCACACACTCAATATCTGCAATATTTAGAAGAGTTTGTTATGTGTCGTAATACCAGTTTAGGCTCGACGATTTTGGACTTTCTTTATCGGGAGCTTTGCAAGGCCACACTTGTCCAAACGGGTCGAAAAGCTGAAGTAGCAGGTTATCTGATACTACTACAATCCTGGGCCTGGTATCGCTTCCTGTTTTTGACGCTAGTTACAACAGCCCCAGTAGAGTTTCCGCTGGCTGCAAGATAATTGTTTAACTTTATTTATTTAAACTTTTTTTTTGAATTTCATAAATTTAATTATTTTTATTTGTTTATAATTTTTTTATTTTTAAATATTTAGGATGGAGTCATAAAATCTCCGAGATGAAGTTGGCGGGTGCCACTACACGAGACATACGGATGATGATCAACATCATTGGTTGATTTACGGTATGACATACAAAATTTTAATTATTTTATTTGAATATTTTTTAACTTTATATATTAACTTTGATGTTTAATATTTACAGTTCTCTTGGCCTTCGTATGTCAACGAGGAGATCAATTAGTTATTACCGAAGGGATTTTTTTAGAGGTCCCACTTCTGGTGTACCATGACGTCGTTGTCGCATTATGCGATTATAGAGTGGCATGCCGCAGATAGAGTGATGCGACAGTTTGCATCGTACCAGTCGATTCCTACGCTTATGGTTGAAATGGACGCTCTCCATACAATCAATATGCGTGGGAAACATGACAAAAATTGGTCAGTGAGGCATGTTTTCTATATCGAGCAATGGAATCATCATGACATCACACTGCTGGACCTCGATTTTGACTATTCTCCATATCTTCGAAATTATGAAGCAAATGGGAAACCATATCTGACGACACTAGAAGTGAGGGGAGAATGAAAAAATCATCAAGCCACATGCACCAAGTTCAAGAAGAAAGCATCGTCTGCTTCTGCTTCACCATCTACCACTGAAGAGTACTATAAGGCATCCTAGGCCAGTTTCGGTTTTTATCCTTCATGTTATACTTCAGTCGAGACTCGACCGAATTGGGTTAGAGGTTCATAGGATGCATCGCAATACACTTAATGATATTCAACAGAACATACAGTTGCGGGTGAGTGGGACCATATCCTATATGGTCACCAAAGCCAAGTCAAAGCAGTTACGATGATGATGGCGTCAAATGTCATAAATCTATCATTGTATTTTAAAGGTGGATCACAGAGTGTGTTAAATACACCTCCTCGGCAAGGCGACAATGACGACCAAGGTGTACGGCCCCGACATACTTGACAAGCCCCGCGACATTATCATTCAACAACTCCTCTACATTGTCAATAACTTAGGAGACATGGATAAATTTTCTTTGTAATTTCCATGCAAAAATTTATTTCATGCAATTATTTATTTACTTTGTATTTTGTAAAATAATAATTTTATTTTTATTTTTATTTTTATTTTAATTTTTAAAATTTTACCGGACCAAACTTGTCACCTTGAGGTGATGAGTTCCAAGTGATCGTTGCTGTTCGTCTTCCCGTTGACTAACGGCTACAAAACGACTACTATTTTTGAATTTGAGTGAACTCATCGTG